AGTCGTCCATAACCGTGGGCACAACTAATCGAATAGATTTAACCGTGCAGGGATGCATCGTTACCCATACATGCTCAGTCGTCTCTTAATGTCTGTGAGTAGCACACTTCATGGTGTATGCCTGGCCGATGGGAGAAAAGCGATTCTCCCATGTACGGGAGATCCGGTGCATGCATACGTCGTTGGTTATGCTGCAGATCCGAGTGCATGCAAACTATGCTGTTCGCATTAATATAGCATGGTATCATGTCAGTCCACTTAATGCCATGCATGCGTCTCTCTCTCTCTCTCTCTCTCTCTCTCTCTCTCTCTCTCTTTGCTGCTCACAACCGGTCTGACAACATCTCCTCTCTCTTCCTCTCAAAATCCATCATTTTTAGTTTCCTTTACAAAGTTTAAATTGTTCATATCTTTAAAACCAAAATATTTGAACCCATCGCATCAAGACCTTTAGAACAAGATCAATCTTGGATAGATTCTAAACATGTTAAAATTTCAATGTGTTGACACACTTTTCACTAAATCTATTTCACTAATTATATTTTTAATGATCAAATCAGTTTTTGAAATGAATTTTTAATGAGTGAAATACAAAAAATGAGTGAAATTATTTTATTTAAATTAGTGTTTTTTCAGAATGAAGAAAATTTAGTTTTTCTAAATGAGTAAAAGCAGTGTTTGGAATGACTAAAATCAACATTTTGAAGTGAGTGAAATATGTTTTTTTTAAATGAGTCAAAACAGTCTCTAAAAATGACTGAAATATGTTGATGAAATTTAAACTCGTTTAAAATATATTCAATATTAACCTTGTTTTAAAAATCATGTTGTTAGGAATTCAAATTTATAAAAATATTTTAAAATGGAATTAATATTCAAAAGATATCAATGAATTAATATCTCACAAGAAAATATAATGCTAGCTTTTGTATAGATAGACCGATTCCACAGAGGGATAACATTTGCATTACTGGGCCCATGTATCACTATTCTCAGTTAATGTTGATGGATAGTTTCTAGACCTATGGATGTGGTATTGTACAAAGAGTGCCAACTAGACCATGCACGGGACCTCCCGTGCATGAAAGAAAATCTAGTAACCCTCAAAAAAAGAAAAAAAAAAGAAAATCTAGTCTCCTGGCAGATGGTGATCGATTCCACACTCCCCCTAGGCCGCAACAAGTCCAAGGAGCCAACTGATTGCGTTGTACCTGAATTGTGAGTCGGACCGAAGCTC